CTGGGAAAGTAGTGAGAAACACACACTCACTTCACAGGAGAAACTGAATGTCTGTATGAGGCCTAAATGGATCTAAGCATTCTATCAGTTATAGTACATTTACAACTTGCAATTAAATAGTCCTCTGAAATGTACTGTACAGAGCACTAATCCAAATAACAAATGTTCACTATATTTTCCAAGTTATAGCCTAAAAGAAAATAGGCTATGCTAAAAGAACATAGGAGGTATTAAAATTATCATTAGGTTCTGTATAAACATTGGGATGTTTCATGACCAAGGGTATACTTAAGTACTTCTTTCTCATCGTATTTGAGGCATGTTAAGTAGGTATTAATTGCTGCTGGTGCAAACACTTCTTTGCATCTCTGTACTGATGGTTCATCAAAGCTCTTTCACCGTTCAGGTAGAGGCAAAATGCCACTTTAAATTTACCAAATGAAAATGTAGCTACTTAAGTCATTGTGCCTCCTTCTTTATTTTGGTCAAGTAGCATATGTTTTTATTTCCTAATTACAATGCTGAGTATAGTTATTCATTTCATGTTCTTAGAGAATCCTTTTTTGTATTAAAACATTGCCATATCTGTCTGTTCATGAAATGGTTCCCTATAATGAGATCTTTCATTAAGCAGGTTCAGAATAAAGTTGCTGGACAGAACATTCTCCAAACTATGACACTGTATGTAACATTTTATTTTTTTAACATACTGCACATTTTCATGGTAATGACCCCCAACACCAGTAGCAGAATATGTCCTGCAAATATTCTGGTAATTGAAAAACACTGCATTTCATATCAATGATAGAATATTTCTCTTAACATTTCCCATTATTTTTGTATCCCTCAGGCAACTACCCAAAATGCTCTAAGTAATGTTTTTATTTAAGAATGTTTTTGGTAAGTCTTGTCTGTCTGAGAAGATGGCTTACTATCATGCAGATGAGCTAATTTTATAAATAATATTTACATGCCATATTCAGTCTTGGCAGATGCATTTATAATAACTTTCTGTTAACTAAAACAATGGGGGAATATTTTTTTCTACGAACAGTAGAAAACAAATAAGAGAACTTAGTGCCTCAGAACCCTCAAGAAGAGAGATTCATTTAATTACTCTGAACAGATAGTTAAGAAATATCTTAATGAAGTAGAAAGTTTTCCTAAGTGCATGTTGAGCTCAATGCATTCAGAAGGCACAGTGTCATTCAATATTTTATCTTTTTTCACCTGTTGTTCTTTTGTTTGGGAAATGTTGTCCTTATTAAGAACATAAGAACTATCATTTACTGGGTCAGACCATACATCCATCTTGCCCAGCATCCTGTCTCTCTCAGTGGCAGAGAATGGATGCTGAACAGGAGAGTAAGCCTGTTGTGACCAGGTTTTTTTTTTTTTTCAACTGTTCCTCTCCCACTTGCAGCCTTCAGCATTTAGGGCATTTTTACACATGAAAAGTGCCTAGCACTGCAACACAGCAGTTATATAAGCGGCAAAATGTGCACCAGCACACAGCAAATGACGACGATATGCTTTTGAACTAAAACGCATCGAAAATGTTTTAGTTCAAAAGTGCACCCCACCATTTTCTCCATGCTGATGTGCATTTCACCACTTATACAACTGCAGGTGATGCAGTGTGGTTCTCATCACCTCGCAAGCGGAGGAGACTTGATTAATCAAGTATGGTCCAATGCGCTGGATCTCTGACACGTTGCAGCATGAAAAAGTATGTGTATAGGTACCCATAAGGTTTAAGAAGTTCTAATTCAGAAGCGCTATCCTTAACGCCCATGCTCAATAACTACTGATGCCCCTTTCCTCCAAGAATCTGTCCAGTCCATTTGTTTACAGCTCTGATGCACTGGGAAGTGCATTTGAGTAGGCTGTAGTGATTTGGGTTCCAATGTGCAGAATGAAGGTACTCGGGCCTACAAATAAAGACTTGCTTAAACATGAGGTTGTATCATTAAAATCTTTGTGATTGATTTTATGCTTAAAATAATGAGGGTGTTAGCCTGGAACTTGAGAGACTCATCTTGTGTGCCAGGTTCCTGAGCAAGTCACTTCTCTGTGGCACCTGTGGAGGATGTGTTCTTGTTTCTGGTTCCAGCAGACTACTTGTAATCTTGAATGCCATTGACACCAATACAATGTTGGTATCATGGACAGTGAATAAATGTGTTTAAGCATATGCTACAAGGTGAAGGGCTTTCATGAGGAAATTACATGCTGCTATATTCTCTGCTGTTATATTTTTAAAAAATCAGATATATAAAGGATATATAAAGGAGGGGAAATAAGAAATCATTACAACATTTATAAACTTCTGTTGCTCTGATGTGTTATTTTCCTGGGAACAGAATTGGGGACAAATATTGTGTGGAAAACATATATTTATGTTACATGTAATTTATCATCATAATTAAAAACACCAAATATACAGAAAAAAATTAAGTATGCTAACATTTTTCTGAAATCACTGATTACAAATTACATGTAGTCAGCTTAAAACAGCTGGTTCTGCTAGTTACCTTATTTCCTTATTTTTACAGTACAAAAGACAGCGAAAGTAATTAATGTCTGAATCTGGATGCTATGAAAAAAGCGTTCTCTGGTTTACTACCTCCATTGGCCAAATATGTCTATTTTAGATTTATGTTGATTTAATTTGCTGCAGCTCACTGCATGATCTTAAATCATTTATACCATACATGAACTTATTATCCACAGAAAGAACTGCACTGGACTTTTTCAGTGTTCTTTGTAAGAAAATCTGAATTCAGAACACAGAAATTTTCAGTAATAACTTTAGTTTGGAAGGCTTTTTGGGTCCAGAAAAAAGGTAAGAGAAACACATGAGTTGCACAACTTCTAGGTTGCTCTTTGTTATGGACTTCTGCATCAGAGTGCTCTAGCCATTAGTTTATACAGTCAGTCTTAATTTCTGGCCTAGCAAGCATTTACATGTTTATATGAGTGACAGTAATTTCCAAGGAATGATTGAGAAATAGTCTTACTAAGTTTGATGAGGTTTAAATACTCTGATGAGAGATAGGAGACCTGGGTTTGATCCCATTTATGTCTGATACAGATAATCTAGGGTGAGTTTTTGAGTGTATATGACTGTCTCTAGCTTTTTATTAAACAATTGAAAGACCTCTCATAGTGCTGTAGAATGAAGAAAAAGTTTTTAAACATTATATTTTTGCAGCTCAGGGAAACTGTGTCCTGATCATCATTATTCATAGACTTCAGTGGGACACTGCTTATCTGATGAATCTCAAGTCTTATGATTGTTTGCAGGATCATGGTCTAAGTCTGGGGTTGGCAACATTTTTGGGCACACTGCCAAAACACCTGCAACTTTCACTTGTAAGATGTTGGCATGCTAGGAGTAGACAGCACAGGAACTGTGAGGTGCCTGATCTTTGTTGTGGCAGTGCAGCCCACTGCTGGCAACAAGCCAGGCCAGGACTCCACGGGCCCTGGTGCAGCCACTTGTAGCCTCCCAGATGACTACCACAGCCACCCACTATTGAACCTAGGCTGCTTGCAGTAGGTGGTGGGGAGCCTGCAAGCAGCTGCACTGGAGTCCATGGAGCCCTGGCCCAGCTTATTGTGAGCGTCGGGTGCACATACACATCGGTGTGGATGATGGGGGAGCTGCGAGAGGCTCGATCCTTGTTGTGGTAGCACAGCCCTGGCCCCTTCCCTGCCATCCACCCCGAGGCACTTGTGACAAGCAAAATGCCTTCACATGCCATGTTCTGGCACGTGTGGTTGCTGGGGTTGCTGACCCCTGGTGTAAATTAAAACATACATGAGATTAACCAGTGGGTCCCTCCAAAAGGGGTGGGGGGATAATCTGAAAAGTTAATAAACAGCAATTAATTAATTAGAAAATGGTTTTAAGACATGTTGTCTTTATCCTGATTGCATAATGTGAAGGAATGCTTTTATACAACTGATGGGGAAAAAACTGCTATGCGTTCTTAAGTTAAAAAATGGGGAATCTGTCTTTTTGTATCAGACATGCTGGGAGTATCTACATGCGTGCTTGACTGCACAGTTGTTACTGTGCCATCATTTGGTACTTGCTTTAGCTGTTACTGGGCAGTTCCCGCGATGAACGGATCATTTCTGACCCTACTGCACAGTAGCGTTGGCACCACGGTTCATGCCCACCAACACTACGTTGCCATAGCAGTGAGCTACAGTGACACTGCATCTTGTGTTGATGCACCCACTCTTTGGTATTTCTGAATTCTGTGTGCCTGACCTCACAGCTGTATCAAGTCTAGGGAGTTTTGGTAAAAAATGTTATATAACAACAGTGTTTCCTTCTCCTCTATTCACATTTGATGCAGATACAGATTTTCTCAGTTGCTCAAACAGGGAAATTCTTATGTTCTCTTTTAGGAATGGATAGAATATTCAGGTGACTATTTAGATACTGAAGGAAATTTTCATTACTTGTTCCTACATCTTCTTGTGTGCTCACATGATCACAAAATGTAGCTTAATAATTTCAGAACATTACTACTGAGTATTGCTGTCTTTTTTTCCACTTGTCTTTAATACTTCATTCTTAGCTGCATGATTCATTTGACACATTACATCTCAGAATAACTGAAGGAGGCCTGCATTTTTTTTCTTTGCACAGTCTTATAGAAAAAGCTAATGGGTTATCAGAGTTTTCAGGTTGTTACCAATGTATATTTGGAAATCAAAAGGTTAGAGATTTTTTTTTGTTTGGGGGAGGGTTAATATCTCAGTAAAAAATAGTTTAAACAAAATAGACATTTTTCACCTATACCAATTAAATTTTATTTGCTTTCTTTAATGTCAGTTATTCAAACATAGTCTTTTTCCTTCCCACAAAGTTTGGCCACTATAGAGTTTTTTGTTCTGTTTTGTTTTTGAACTATTGAGGGGAAAATGGAAGATAACATATTATAGCCCCAGTTCTCATTGTTTATTATCTTTGATGTTTTTAGGTGGTAGAGTGACTAATCCCAGATTAACCATCGGCTATTCTGGAAACATTCATTTTCTACCAGACCCAGAATAATGGATATAAAAGACAGAAGACATCGGTCTTTGACAAGAGGTCGGTGTGGGAAGGAAT